AGACAGTCTCTCGGGGGTTAAGCTTGTGATAACATTTCCATCTAAATGCAGATTTGATATAGCAATGGCAACAGGGCCCTCGCTAGTTTACATTCATTACCAGGGAAGAAGAGAGCAGTGTTTTTTTCTGATTTTCACCTGCTCTCCTTCACGATGTGATTTAGGCTTTTCAAGCAGGGGAATCTGCAATTGATTTCATTTGATTTAGTTGTGCATATTGCAGCACCAGCCGGGAAACAAAGATAAACATTTGTCCAAATAAAGTGGACATTAAGAGTGAAAGGGGGAGGGAGAATGTGAAGGACATTGTGAGTGTAAAGCTTGGTTGGCTTTATTTGTGACACTGCCTTTCTATCGGCAACATAAATAGCATAATGTTACCCAAATGGTGCTTATCCAGGTGGAACCTGGCAAGAAACCGGGAAGCAGATTAAACATTATTGATGCCTCTTAGCTAAAGAATAGATTTGCCTGTTTTTTGTTTCTAGCAAGCTCTCGGCAAGGTGGTTCAGAAATTGAAGTTTGATTGTATTCTTGGGCCGCTCTTTACGCTTGTGTTTGAGTGTGTGTGTGTGTGTGTATGTGTGTGTTTGAACGGGAGGGGCACATGCATGAGTGTGTGGTAAACAAAGATGAGTGCCACATCCTCGAGGGGGATAAAGCACAAAGAGTGACAGCAGGGAGTGGAGTCTGATAGACTCCTATGAAAGATGTGTTCTTTGAGTGAGTTTGAATGTGTGTGTGTGTGTGTGTGTGTGTGTGTGTGTGTGTGTGTGCGTGCGTGTGTGTGTTTTTGTGTCTTAACACGCCTCCTGCTGAATCACGAAAGCGCACCTCTACTTTTTCCATCATATCCTCTTGACTCCTTTTCCACACCACATCACTCCAATTTCCCCGTTACACGTACCTTCAGTATTTTTTTGTTTACGTATTTTCCCTCGCTCACCTCCTTCCACCGCTCAGAATCCAACACTGTGTTATGCTGCAGTCAATTGTGCTTGTTCATTTTTTATGTAGTGTCAGTTTTCTTCCCTCTGTGTGAGAGGAAAAGTACATTGCTGCTGCTATCAAGTAAAACAAATTCAAAAAGTGAATCAATTTTTCTCTACACCATCTCCTATCACAGAGCACATTACTATGCAGACCCACAAACTGTATTGAGAGAGCCAGTTTGTGGTCAACAATGTTGTGTAACTCATAATTTTAACCTGCAATCAGTAGCAGCGCCTTTGTTAATAAAATGAAGAATTTGAATCCTGCATGACAGACAACTTTAGACAACATTATGTCTGCTCTGACAAAGATGATAATGATGATAGTATCAAAATAAAATAATGATTATTTGTGAAGGATAGTAAGCAACCTTGGTTAGTTAACAGATACTCTGTGATGAACTTAAAGCCACAGTTCGACAAAAAGACTTATTCACTTTCTCGCTGAGAAGATTAATGCCATCTCGTACATCTGTATGATAATGCTGTGTTACATTTGCCTCGGAGGTCGGAGCTGGGAATAACGTCACGCCCAAGTTGACCGCGTTCCAATTACAAGTCGGAAACCTCTTGTGGCCAGCTGTTGTTTACAACTAGCCAGGTTTGCAGTTGTTACCAACGCTGGTTGATAACAAACGCATTACGCTGTATTTATGAATCCTAAACACAGTAGCAACATGTCCACAGACAGCAGTTACGCAGCAACGAAAATTTACATGAGACACAAATACACAGAAGTGCTAAGAAACAGTATAAACTACAGCTTTCACTAACTGTTCATACTCGGAGCAGCCATCTTGGATTACGAAGTCGGGGTTAGAGCGGTTCCCCTGACATTCTGAGTTGGAAATCTGACTTAAGGGGTCGTTCCAGTTGAAGCTGCAGCCTGCAGCCAGTTAGCTTAGCTTAGCATAAAGACTGGAAACGGGGAGCGAGTAGCCTGGCTCTGTCATATTGTAAGAAAATATAGATATAAAATGGCAGTCAGTGATGTTTAGAGGTAAGATTTTGTAACCTCCAGACAGTGCCAGGCTAGTTGTTTCCCCTGTTTCCAGCCTTTGCGCTAAGCTAAGCTGAGAGGCTGCTGAATGTAGCCTTGTATTGAATCGAGATTTGAGAGTGATCTTGCCATTTAACTCTTTGCTAGCTTGGAAATATTCCAATAAAATGATTTTTCCTTTTTTTCTTCCAAAGACACTAGTCTTGATCATTTATAGTCAATGTTGGCCACCCACCTGGCTTTGCTTGTTTATTCCTCACCTCCCTTCTTGTCTCCTCTTATCCCTCTGCCTTTGAAAGCGTCATGCATTTTGTCAGGTCACCTCACTCGACGGGCTGAACTCCTCTTGAGTGCGACATAAGAGGCCATTTCAGACCACAAATCCCCTGTGATGCTGCCATACAGAGAAACATAGATCAGTTGTTGAGGGAGTTAGACAAGTAGCGCTTGCCTAAGACGATGTCACTGGGAGAAGCAGAGAAGTGGGTATTTATGTATGTTTATGCATCTGCAGGGAGGAGAAAATGTGATGGGAGGGCTGATGTTAAGCTATCAGGGAAGAGGCACTCAGCCTCTTAGCTTGAGCAACTGCAGCAGCATAACGGCTACAGGAATGAGCGATGACAGCTATTCACATGTCTGCTATTTTTATGTGCTCAAAGGCACATTAACCATCCAGTAATGAGTGAAAAATGGTGCCTTCGAAGACGTGTGTGTGTGTGTGTGTGTGTGTGTGTGTGTGTGTGTGCGTGTTTATGTGTGAGGGCATGCATTCAGTGCCCCATGAATAGCAAATGAGAGATGAGATGTTTTCACTTCTGAGAGCATTCCAGGGCGCACACACACACACTTCGTATAGTACATCCACTATTGGCACAAATGGCAATCAAAGATGAGGCAAAAATTGGTTCAAGCTGAATCATGAAGTTTTCACGACATGGCTGAGGGAAAAATCTGATCCTGAAAATCAAACCAAAAAACACTCTATATCTTTAAACTCTATACAGATTGAAGATGAAAAAAATAAGATTTCCAGATAAAAAAAAAAGGCAGGTGAGTAGAAGAAATGAAATGCTCATCTGAGAACTGGCAAGTGGCCATACTGCGGGGGAGGAAGAGGAAAAGGGAATGGCAGGAGATGGGGAGAAAAATGACAGAGCAGAGAGAAGGAAGGGCAGAGAGGTTGAGCGACTCATGCAGCGGTGTGCCTGTAACCGCTGGAAAAACATTGTTCCACCAATCTGCCATTTAATTACAGACAGGAGGGGCCACCCCTGTAGTGCCTTAACGTGCATCCAATCAAACAGGAGTGGCGCAGGACACACAGAAAGTGTGTAGTGGAAACTGACACTAATGAAAAGGAATCAATAGGCTCATTTTCTCCACCGTTCAACCACACTGTCTGTTCCACCCACCTAGGGAGCGCCTTTTTTCTGCTCTTTCATTCTGTTATTTTTTGCTCTTTCTTCTCTTGCTTCAGTCAGTCTTAACAGCTTGACATTAGATTTCTTCCATCTGGTTGATAAAGTTCCAACGTAACTTTTTCTCCTGGTCATATTTATAATTACATTACTGTAGGACGCAAAAAATGTTTTATTAAAGAAAGAACAATCAGGCAACGTATTTAGGCACAGTGGTGCTTTGAGCTAAATGCTAACATGCTGATGTTTACTAGGTAATGTTTACCATGGTCACCATCTTACTTTAGCAATGTGTCATGGTAATGTTCACTAATTTAAATAAATCAAAGTATTGGACAAAGTGACATTTTTACCTGATGATGAAGCAAGATGAAAAGTCAGAGAATCACTGAAGTTATTGTGTTTCATCCAAATCATTCATAGCAATCCATCAAACAGTTGTTGAGAAATTCCACTCAAAACCACAAATGTGAACTTTGTGGTGGTGCAAAAGGAAAAGACAGGAGATCACCATAGTTATTAGGATTCATCCTGTGGGGAGCATGAATCTTTGTATACAATTTCACAGCAGTCTGTCTAACACTTGCTGATATACTGACTAACCGTCAGACTGACATTGCTGTCCTTAGAGCCAAGCTGCTAGTGTAGTTATGAAGCGACTAGATGATGGGAAATGCATGCATTCTTGCTGGGGCAAATTAGATTAGATTAGACACAGCGACATTTTTTTGCCTGCGTTCTCAGTAGTGAGAAGAAAGGGGAAAGTGACTGATAAGGGAGCTAGAAAAGAGTCAGATTAGGCTTAAGGCTTTACAGGTAAACCTCATTCACCAACTGTGCACGCTGGATCAAGAGCTCAGAGATGAAAACCTGCATCGCTGTTTTGTAAGAGTGGAATTCACATTTCCTTCCGCAATGTAAATGAGCCACCTCTGCAATGCAAATGAGCCACCTCTGTCTTTGAAGGCAAGGTGACACAGGATTAGAGGATAATAATAATGTATGATATTACTCTACCAGTGTAAAATTAGTTTTGAGAAAAGACAACAAACAAAAATGCAGTGGAGCATTGCAGAATTTTGCTCAACAAAACAGCTCATGCCAGAGCTTACATTGCTTACACAGCCTAGACTTTCTCTCTGTCATCAGTTGTTTTGATGAAAGTTATATTTCCATCTCTACAGTGGTGGTGGCACTTTAAGAAGAGGTGGTTGATATTGATCCCATAATGCATATTTAGGTTTGATGAATGTCTTATGAAAGGACTTGTGAAATCTTCCCTCTGCAATCTAGCCCTGCCTCCTACTGTTCAGGTAGCACTGTAATGGTCTGCTGGATCAATGACCAATAATCAGAGTGACACAGTGCGTTCTTCCCCTTTTACTACACAACCAGGAGGATCTGATGGAACAAAAGAACCTAGAAGGAGAGCATGTTTACTTATACAAGAAGCAATTAAATAACGTCTTTCCAATGTAATGAGAAATAACGTCCTGTGGCTTCATTTACAAGATGGCATTGATTGTCTTATCCTCTCCCTTCCTCTCCCTTCCTCTTCTCTCCTCTTCTCTCCTCTCCTCTTGTCAGGCATAACCAACGCCGACACTATGGTGAATATGCGGAAGGTGACCCATCAGACCATTAGCGAGGAGCTGTCCAAAACTGTTCTCCTCCCCTGCCTCTTCACCCTCCGCCCAAGTGCCAGTTCATCCCATGAGCCCCCCAGGATCAAGTGGACCAAGGTTTGGGGCCAGAGAGGCTCCGACGGCCTCCAGAAGGAACAGTCGGTCCTGGTGGCCAAAGACAATGTGGTCAAGGTATAGTAAAGGCTGAGGGGCACCACTGTGAAATATTTGGTGTCAAGTTTTAGAAGAACAGTGTTTTAATTTCCCCCCCTTCCACACACAGGTGAAGAAGGCCTTCCAGGGACGCGTAACACTGCCTGGTTACAATGAGAACCGCTACAACGCCAGTCTTGCTCTGTCAGGGCTACGTTCCAGCGACTCTGGTCTGTACCGCTGTGAGGTTGTGGTGGGCATCAATGACGAGCAGGACACAGTTCCCCTGGAGGTCACAGGTGAATAAAATGTAGACATTTTGGCAAGGCAGCCATTGAATTTGAATTTATGTCACACTCTGGATGGGAAATGTCATGATAGAGCAAACCAAGCATTATGGTAATCTTCTTAAACAATTACAGGACTTGGAAAATATTTAATGTTCTGCCTAATGTAATAAAATATATATTTATATTGAGAACCTGAATATATTATATTTAATTTCTAATTTCTAATTTGTAACTAAATGATTGCAAGAACCCAATCATCCTGTTGCAAGGTCATAAAGCTCAAATACATTTGCAGAAGCTAAAACTTTACTTAAAGAGAAGAGGTGCTTTGCAAATACATCAACATGGCTCCGTGGCCAGTTACGATACCAGATATTGTTAAGATTAAAACCAAACTACACATTCTAGCAATATTCAAGAGGTTTAAACACAAGCACTTAATCTGCCTGTTACTCATAAAATGTAAATATTCCTTTTGCCAGCCAAGCCTTTCAATGTGCAAGGTAAAGGACAATGACCAAGATAAGTTAATGAATATTTAATTCACTTTCTGGCATTAATTATCCAATTAGGGCTTTGTTTTAATCTGATTCTACATTGTAATGTGTTGTACAGTGAGTTTAACACTGGACAGTCACAGCACTACAGTCTTATTGGAATAGAGAGAGAAAGAGCGAGCAAGCCAGAATCTGCTACTGCCCTCATAAACCTGATTATTTCTGTGATTCAGTATCATCTTTCAGCAAATGTAATATTAGCTTCAACTGATGAGTGGTTATATCCAAAGTAATTATTGCCATTTATGTAATTCTAGGCGTTGTGCATGTTTTCACCTACACAAAGTATTGTCTCAGCAAATCAACACTCTACTCTTTGGTTGTGTACAGCTCCCCCATTGCTCTCAAGGTCTGCCACTATGAATAATAATGACCCTGTTTTCCACGTCAGGCTAATATAACCATAACACCCAGGGTTGTTTACTGTCTGTGTTGAATATATGATGATGGGGAAACAGTGAGGGAACTAGAACACATTAAACATCATTGACCTGGGCCACTCAGGTGCTGTTCATGCACTGAAAGCCTAATGAAACCAATAAGGTAGGAACCCAGCAGTGTATGCTATTGTCAAATGGTGTAACTCCGAGAGCTTTGTATGGCTCTCGGTGGCTTAACTAAATGGGCAAACCATTTACTGCATTATCTGTATCCAGGACATCCATATTTGTAGAATTATCAGACTACCTGGAGGGAGCATGCCGTAGTAGACCCATAATTACTGTGTCAGAGTATTTTAACGGCAGAGCTTTCATCAGATTATTTCCAGGTCACTCACTATTATTAATAATAAGCTATTATCATAATGACTACCGGGAATCACACACGGCAATAGCCACCATACACTATGCTGCAACTTCCACAAATCCATGCTAGTGTCGCTAACCTCAACTCTGAAAGCCCAGTAGCCTAATTCTATTTCTAAGACACGGCACACTACAATGGCAATGCTGCGTGTCATTAAGAGTCAAGTCTAGTAAAAAAAAATTATATAGCCCAGTATTACAAATCATAGTTTGCCTCAAGGGGCTTTACAAACTGTACAGCATAAGATATCCTCCATTTCCAGACCCTCTATTCGAAAGAGAATCCCCCCCCCCCCCCCCCCCAAAAAAAAAAAAAACGGGGGAAAATGGAAGAAACCTCAGAAAGAGCAACAGAGGAGGGAGACTTCTCCCAGGATAGACAGACTACAATAGATGTCGGGTGAACAGAATAGAATCACAATAGAAAATTATACTATATACAATTGTGATGACAAAACACAGATGTAAAACATAAGTGAAGAAAATGAATCCAGGAGGACTATTGTCGTTATATATATTATGTGAATATGTGCAAGCATGCATATGTGTGTGTGGAAACGTGTTTGTAAAGGCCACTATGTCTTTATAAATTCATTATTTCAACAAGGATGCTAACTGGTTTTCTTAAGCAAACAGAGCACTTCATCTTTCTCCATAGGGCACTTTACATTTAGTAAGTAAGACCCCTGTCAAAATGCTTGGGAAACCCCTGCATCCTCCCCCTCTTGGCCAATCGATTAACACGCCATGAAAACCACTCCTTCAGAGAGAAACCAATTACGTAGCTGGCGAGGAGTAGCCATCTCCAGGGCTTAGTCCTAATTGGCAGTCACGCTACATGGCAGACCACAGCCGTCCTCACACTAATTCTACCAAGTGCTTAACGTATTAATTAGCAGGTGTTGATACTGCTCAGCTATATCAATATCATATTAATCCACACAGCTCTTCTCATAGACTAACTTGTGTGTGCCTAAGCCCCAGTGAGATGTCCTTCCTCTCTTGTCATCCCTTTCTTAATTTCTCCCCTGCTACCTCTGTCTTACACGTTCCTTGTTTAGTCTCTGTTTTGTTTTTCTTGGCACATATTGACTGGTCAATTGGCTGTGTCTCACCAATTAGAACACAGTGCCATTTATTACGTGCCTCAGCCATATTGTAATTGTTTCCACATCTGATGGTGAGTTGCAAATTTTAAGTTTCAAATATATTAATTTAGGGTTAGGGTTAGGGGGGCATGAAATGCTGGTTCCGACCGCCAGTGTTGACACTGGTTATGAGTTTAGAGATATACTGTATGTGTGTTGATGACACACTGGCAGTTAATAAGCTTGGAGACTAGCGTTGTTAATGTAAGCCACGCTTCTGATATGAGCACTCCATTGCTTAACTCCATGAATCCTTACATTGCTATACTTCACAGTGCCAGGACAGTTGCTGTGAGTTTTGTATATCTGGTCATTTTCCATCGTCATGTCAGGACCTATGAAACAAAGACAGCTGATGCAAGCTAGAACACTTCCTTTCTGTAGTTTCTACAAATCTGTCCAATAACATTTTTGTCTTTTTTTGAAACATTGAGAAATACACCCAATTGCTAAAGTATTATTATAGTTGTACTTTTATACACAAAAGGAGAATTAAAATTTTCATTAAACAAAGTTAATGTTGTAACATATATTGTGTTGTAATGCTGTGTAGTGTACTAAACAGTACTGCCAAGGCACTATTCAACAATGAGGGCATTATACAGTCATAAAGCATAGGGCCTACCCTTCCTGTTCTCCTCCCTGGAGACTGTGTGGGGATGTGTGAAGATGCAGAGGGTGAAAATAGAGGGATAAGGTATTGGGCATGCAACCCTCCTGTGGAATAGGTCTGGGTTCCCCATACTGAGAGGAAACCCATTTGTCTCTCTAGTGTACGTATTAGCCAGCCCGCTAGCATCTCTGTCTGGACAAGATCCCACTGCCTCAAAGGAGAAAGGATGGTAACTGAGAAATTATAAGAAAAGAAATGGAGCAACAAAAGGAGGGATTTCTGCTCCACATTTTGGAGAAGAGGAGGATAAAACCAAGATGACAGAATGGCCTGATGGACTGCTGGGGGTGTGTGTGTGTGTGTGTGTGTGTGTGTGTGCGTTTGCTCGTGACACACAAACACACATGGCTCCACTTACTTTCTTCGCCCATAGCCTGGAGTGCTGATGCTCAAATTGCCACGCAGGCCCCGATCTCACAGGAATCTCTGTCACTCTCCCAGACAAAGCCAGCGAAGATAAAGGGGCCGTGTTAGTAGCCAGACGCCCACTGGCTCTCATGTCGCTGGATGCTCCTCAGGGGAGCAGCACTGCGTGAATGGCAGGCAGAGGTGGGAGGTGAGGGAACATTAGATGGACACTTCTGAAGCTATTCCTTTCTCATTTAAGCGAAATATATGCTCCTTTCACAGCAAAGGGATTTGTGTCTCACTTTATTCCCAGTTGATTTTTTTTTTTTTTTTTTTTGCTACTTTCAATTTTTATAACATGTCTTTTTTTGCATTCCTGTCTACCCCTCACCAGCTCTTTCTGTCTCCGTGGTTCAATACATGCATCTCCTTGAATGATCGTATCTCACTATTTCTATGTCTGCCTTCTTTGTCTTTTCATGTGCGGCTGCAGGCAGCAGGGTGACATTGTGTGCTTGTGTACTGTTAAAGCAGTAAAATAAACATCACCACTGTTTGTCATACACTGTATCCAAGGGCAACATCTCTTTTCTCTAATGATAAGCCGAGCGACTTTCTGATGCAAATGAGACTCGCACATGCAGGTTGCTGAACCCGATTGCTGTTGTTTCCTCCTGCACAGATGGAACAATGTCAGTACATGATGAGGATGTCTACAGTGCTATGTGTTCGTGTTTCTGTGAGCGTGTACACACTCTTGTTTTAATGGCCCAGGGTTGCCGTTCATACATATTTCTATGACCCAGAGGTTGCAGGTCATAAATTCACACAACGGTCTCTGGTGTATCCTCCCTACTTACTATCACATGCTGTATGTCTTTGCTCCAGGTGTGGTATTTCACTACCGGGCCCCTCACGACCGCTACGCCCTCTCATTCGCTGACGCCAAGAGGGTGTGTGTGGAGAACTCAGCGGTCATCGCAGCACCAGGCCAGCTGCATGCCACCTTCGCTGATGGATATGACAACTGTGATGCTGGCTGGCTGTCTGACCAGACTGTACGGTGAGGTTCTCAACTCTGCATACTACAGTATCTGGTTCAAAAGCTATTGTTTGCCACTGTTGGAGTAACTCTCAAGAGAACACTTTTCACTGTCACTGTGGTTGCTACTGTGATACAACGCAAAGGTCTTTGAAATTGGCAGCATCACTACAGCCCCTATGTTTGTTGTAAAGGGCATGCTTGAGTGTGATATTTCACCAAAGTAGTATGTACACAAAATAAACTAAATAAGAAAAGAAACAGCGAAGAAGAAGACTAATTAGCTCTCTAGTTGGAGTTGGCATGTCAACAAATAAAACACAGTTACCCATGTGTTATGGGAGTTGTGAACATAATTATGAGTCTTCTTTGAATGATGAAAATACGTCCTGTAATATATGCAGCACCAGCCACTGGACAAATTCTCAGCTATGAGTCAATCCTCTGGTATTTGAGGAGAAATGTAAGCATTTTAAAACGCTGTAAGATTATCTCTCTGATCTAATTACATTGATAGCATTACTTCATCAATAGCCACATACATCACAGCAGCATCTGAATATCCTGGGCCAGACAGTAATAAGCAGTCTTGAGCTTAAAGTAGCAAGGTTTGTGACAGCTCTTGTTTGCTGGACCGGGTTGCTATTTTAAAATCTCTATCAGACTGTTGTTTCAGCCTAGTATTTTTGATAATTTGCCACATGATCAAACATTATAACAAAAATAAATGCACTCTGCTGTTAAAAATATATCTGAAAACCGAAAAACTGATGACTATATGAAAGATGTGTGGCAGTGTCAAAGTGATTTTGATCACAGGCTTTTTGGTGTTTTCATAAACACAAAACTGTGCAACATAATTGGACCAAATCGCTTGTTTGCACACTAGAGAGCCCCCCACCCCTGAGCTGTCTGTCAGGCTGCTGCGTGTGTTTAAGCTTACCATCTTCCATAAAGTCCCTCCTAACATTATCAGTCAGTGCTCGAGTCTCAACAGTTTCCTCCATATCTACATTTTAATTTCAAATCGCTGTTGGTCCAGTAGCCAAGCAGACTTTTTCACAACCTTCCTGCGGTGCAGCTTCCTTCCCAATTTTTTATCTCCTTCCGTCCTACACTCCTGTTGTTTTCACTCCGGAGCTACCTAATTGGTCCAGATCCAATAGACTCTGACTGCACATCAGCCAGGAGGAAAGTGTCCAATTAATGCTGTGGGAAAAATACAGACATCCGCCGTCACTTCATCAGCCACCAAGCAGAAATAAAGAGGCTGAGGCCAGAGACACTACAAGACTTAGTTCTCTTGTTATACTCTGATGAAAACAGGCTGCTATTTAAGAATAGCACTGCAAGTTTATGGTTATGTGCAGGCATGTGTGTCTCCTGCATTCATGTTTGATTGTTTGTGTTTGTGTGTGTGTGTGTGTGTGTGTGTGTGTGGATCTTTTCCTAGTCCCTGTATGCCCAGCGTAATCTTTTAATCAGCCTCTTTGCCTGTACCCTGGTGCTGCTGGAATCAATGTTCTCGTGGAATAATTGCTCAGTTGGAGCCTGAATATAGATCTCTGTTTTCTCGGCCCCACAGGCCTGCCAGGCCACTGAAGGAATTCCTGATTCTTTTAACCTCTCCTTGACTTCCTACCTCTACCTCCCTCTCTCTGTAAAGCTGTACCGTTCTTGTATTGCCAGAGCATTAAACACATTTCAGAACAATTTCAAGTAAACGGTTGGGTAATCATTCTGTGAAATTCATACCAAGTGCAGAATAATTAGAAGAATATTGTATCTATTGAAGTGCAGGGGGATATTTATGTGTTTATTTTTGTGTTATTCTTTGGATAATATATTTGGGTAATCTATGGGAGAAAGATATACTTAAACTCATTGTATTCAGGGCAGAAGATGATAAAAGTGTAGTGCAGTTTTCATCTTACTTTGTATGCGTGTGAACACCGACTCATCCCTGGGGAGCCAAGTTTGTCTGTGACTGCCTTTTTCATGCCCAGGCTATATTAATCTCCTTCTCTCACCCTCTCCATCCGCTTCTCTTGGTTTTATCTGCAGGTATCCCATCCAGTCGCCTCGGCCAGGTTGCTATGGCGATCGCGAGTACTCACCTGGAGTCCGTAACTACGGCAATAGGTCCCCTGATGAGCTGTTTGATGTCTACTGCTTTGCTAAGCAGCTTCAAGGTAGGAGTCCGGAGTTTCAACCGTAAATTTGGGTTTAGTCATGCATGGGTCCACTAAGCCATGGGTGTACAGCGCAAGAACGCTGTGACCAGGACTTAATACTCTGTTAGCACTGAAAGGAGGCGGGCAGTTGGAGAGGATGGGGAAGAGAGCAGAGTGAGAAAGAGAGAGAGAGAGACTATACTGGGTCCAGCTCTCACATCACTACCTCCTGCAGGCATAAGCTAAGTGGGTCAGTAGTGTTATCCTAAAACTTTACTTTTTGATTTGCAGTGCCACGGGCAGAGCTCGTAAAGACCTACAACAGGTGGACAAAATGCCTTTGAATTTGATTTTAACTCATTTCCTTATATTTGATATAATTTTCGTGCCTCCTACATGATCATCAATTGGTGAGGATGCTTACGTTATACCTGGGGCACGCAGCTTTAGCCTCAAGTCTTTTAGCATGATGTCATGAGCATATTTAATCTGGTTTTAAAAAGTCCACTTGAATTATTACCAAGTCAGCTGGAGACGGACAAGCTCAACCAACTCATGGAGTTAGCATTAGTTAAGCAACTAGCCACAGCTGATAAGATTCGGATAAAATCAAAGATTTCCATATGCGCTGTGCTAGAGGGGAAAGCTTAGTGAACAGTGCTAGTTTGCATAGACAATGTCAAAGCCAGATCCATCAAAACAACAACAAATCTAAAAAATAGGTTGTGGATTTACGCCTACTTCCAGCTAGGATGGAAATCTGTATTTAATCTAAACAATGTCCTCATAACCTGAGGGCTTGTATATCCAGGTGATGTCCCACTAATAATTGTTTAAAATTTACTCCATGGGCAAATTAATTTTCTGGTTGGCACTTAGATATTTTCTGACACACTCTTTTCACTGCAACATATATATCCAACACAGCGTTTCTGTTATTGCAGTGTACTTTAGCTGTCAGAAGTCTGATTACATCACTCTTTCACTGTCACACCCATCACCCACAGCCACACCATCACGTGCTATCACTGCTAGCTATGGAGTGATAAATCTTGCCTATATGTACATGATCTTTGTTGGGAGTTGCACATGCGCAGTTCCTAGTTAAGGACTACTAGCCAATCAGAAGCAGAGGAGGGAGGGTCAGTGAGAAGCCGGTAAACATGGCTTCGGTTCAGCTATATATATAGCAAGAGGGGCTGGAGCAAGAGTTTCAGAGTGGTGAGTTATTAATCTGTAACAAAAGTATCTTTCATCCATAAAGTTTTAGCTGAGCTCTGTCTCTACATCACAGTAACACATTTATGTCCATTGACATTGGGTAGCTACTGTGTGGAAGGGAGAGGAGAGGTGTGTGCTGCAGGTCAGTGTTTTTCCACCAGTGTTTTTGAGCATGTGTCGGACTAGCTGCTTGGCGAGCGTTACATGACTCGCATTTCGCTTTCATCCCTGTGTCATCACAGGAATGAAAGGGAAACGGCTGGACTACAAATGAGCTACCTCTTTTGGTATTGCTCACACGCCAGAGCATTTTGGCAAAACTTCATTGACCATATTTATAAAGACTTTGCCTTATTGTGGGAGAATGGTGTATTTTGCTTTTATAGAAGTCAAAGTAAAGAAAAGATGTTCCTCGTTATAAATCAATTAATTCTATTGGCAAAATTCCACATTCATAAATGTAAATTCAGCACAAAAAAAAACAAATTTTGTACTTTTCTCCATGAAGTTGTACTTTATATTAATCTGATTTCTGGCTCCAACAACAAAAAGGCTGTTAAAACTGTCAACATATGGTCCTCCTTCTCGTTATAATGACCTATAAGCTTCCCCTGGCAAAACTCTATTGTATTTTGTCTACATATTATGTTTGTATATTGTTACATATATTTTGATAAGTCACTTGTGATTTGTATCCTTTTTTTTTGCAATAAAGATGACTTCAAAAAAAGACTACGAATGAGCTGTTTTTAGACAGTTCAGAACAGTGTTTTCTGTGGGAGATGGGAACTCCCTTTGGGGCGGACTTTACATGCACAAAAAAGATTTATAATAAAGGAGAGGGAAAAAGCCGAAAATCATAACCACCTCTTATATTTGTATAGTCCAAAGAACAATCATGAGCACAGCAGGTTTTTTAACACCACAGAACCACTACAGGGGTTAGTGTATCGGGTTAGTGAGTCACTGATGTGGTATGAACACAACTGTTATTAAGCATAATAGTAGTGGGAGGTAATAGAGCTATTTGTAGACAATATGAACACAGAACAGAGAAGATTACATGACCACCTTTAGATTTTGTATCCAGCAATTGACAATAATAGTCATCTTCCGGCATTTCATCTCACACATCCCTCTTCAAACAATCCCGTTCTGCCTCTTTCTACTTTCATTTTGTTTGCTTCTTCACCCTTGTCCCTGCACTTCCGCATCTCAGTTCAATAAAATCAGGAACGTCACTCTTTACTCTTGGCATAAATCTCCAGGATCCTCACATCGACCTTGTTCATCTGTTCTATGCTTCTCAATTCTCACTTTCTACTCGTCCAGCTCATATTTTTTCATCACATACTGAACTGCTAGTGGATTTTCTGATCATATAATTTTATTTGTGCTGTTCAGATGTGATGAAAAGGGAAGGAAGACATGGCTGGTAGTATTGTCTTCAAATAGAGTTGCTAAACACCTCTGCGCACTGAAGTAAGCCATCCGACTGTGTGAGGAAAAAGCTTGTTGATGTGTGCAGGTAGAGTAGGCCTAGAGCTCTCCTGTCTGACTGGTCCACCAGTAGGAGAGAAGTTCAGCCCTTGAGACACAGACCCTCCTTATTTGCATAATGAGGCAGAAATGGACAGAAAGGACAAGCAGAAATAAATACCATTGGGGAAATAAATATAGTTGAAAATTTTTAAAAAAATAAGTCATTAATAAATAAAGTTGAAGATTATAATGGACAATAAATAAATAAGGTAATTATTACAAAGGTGAATAAATAAAGAATCTAATTAAAATTTTATAAATAATTGTATAATTTAATTACTGCTTACATTTATTTACTTTTTTTTTGTGCATTTAATCAGATGCTTATTTATTTATTGAGCATTTATTTATTTCTGTATTTATTTCTAAATTTGTCAGGATCAGTCCTCAAATACTCTTGAGCTCTCTCTGTCTGACTTGCTAAAGCCCTATTTTTGCATCACTACTGTATTTTATCCACACCAACCCCATCTTTCTTCAGCTTCTCCTTTGTTCTTCTCCTTCAGTCGCAGTCTGTGTACTTCCCTCTATGCAACTGCTTTGAATTCAAAGGATTGTCTTTATATAGTCTGTTTTTTGAATTGTTTTTTAAAATTATATTTACGCAAAAGTGCATTCGTATGCATAGCAAGCAAAGCTTTTGAAGTCTCCACCTCTTATTACTTTGACAAAGCTGACAAAGGAAAGAAATGGCTAGAACTTATTGTCTTTAAAGTAAAAGAAAATACTGACTCATGCGCATATACACGACAAAAAACACACACAGACTCAAATGTATCTACATCACTTTGAACAGCCAAACAAACCACAAAACTAACTCTATCAAAAACTTACACTTATAAGCTAACTGAACAAAGACAATCTAAATCTGAGGGCTAAAATCCCTTCAGGCTCTCCACCATGCTCTGTAACACGCTAAACTGAACTTGTCTCTCTTGTCATTCTTCCCCTCTCAGGTGAAGTCTTCCACTCCGCAGTGCCGGAGAAGTTGAGCCTGGCGACAGCCTCCACCCACTGCCATTCCCTGGGAGCCCAGCTGGCCACTGTCGGGCAGCTCTACCTCGCCTGGCAGGCTGGCTTGGACCAGTGTGACCCGGGCTGGCTGGCTGACGGCAGCGTCCGCTACCCTATCAACGTCCCGCGGAAGAACTGCGGCGGAGACGAGCCCGGGGTGCGGACTGTCTATAGCAACCCCAACCGCACCGGCTTCCCCGACACCACAGCTCTGTTCGACGCCTACTGCTACGGAGGTACTGATAAACTTGATGCACTCTCATTGTGGTAATTGCCATGGCAACAAGAGAGGGAAGTCTGGGGACTTGCCTTCCATTCTGGTTATTAATTAGCGCGAGATGTTTGTGTCACACATGAAGTAGTTGCAAAGAGATTGTGTGACATTTGTGTCCCCCCTGGTGGCTTTGAGGGCTTGTATGTTGTGTGTAGTGGGTCCTGAGAGAGAGAGAGACCGCAACACAAAGAGAGACACAGAAGATAGAGAGAGAGAGAGAGAGAGGGCAAAGCAAGGTAGAAAGGGAGAGAGAAAGAGCAAGAGCATGAATGAGACCTACTGGGGTTTGCAGTGACTCTGTGTCTGACCTTGACTTTTATCATGTACCAACTGAGACTGGAAGAAGTTAATTTCATATTCACTTTGGATTGACTTTACACCACATTCTTTTCACTGATATTGCATATTTCATAATTTATCAAAGTATTTGACAATTTTCAACAGACATTTTCATTTTCATCTTTCACAACGTCAGCGTATTCAATTTTCATTTAAGCAAAACATCTGCATAACCCAGTCATTTTAAGTAAACGAGAACAGCATGAGAGCAGAGCAGCAGTGCATTTGTCAAAACAAACAGCTGATGGATGAACCTCTTCATTGTACCAACAGTTGTATGCACATTTAAATGAATGTTTAAAACAAATGATGATTTTCAGATAGCTTAAAGTAGATTAAAATGTTAATATGTTTTCTTTCATAGCATAAATTTGGTTAATGTAAACAATATTGTCTATTCAATCTCATTAATATGGCATGAACACAATACGTTTATTTAAACATGATTTTGTAGAATCCGAGCCACATATCAATCCAGTATGCAGCATGCGCTGTAATTTTTTACATTTACTATTACTATTACTGTTATGTATCTCTCTCTCTCTCTAACTCTCTCTCTCTTTTCCTTAACCTTTTCTTATTATTATACTGATATGAGGTGTCCACATACGTTGGGTTTTGGGTCAGAACTGTGAGATTGTTTTATGGTTTTCCTCTCTTGCCGTTCCTCTCCTCTCCTTGAATGCTCACTCAAGGCGGGGAGAGGATCTCTGTTCCCCAAAACATAGAAACCTGGACTATCTAAATGAGTTTTCATCCCTTTGCTCTGGGCCAGACGACCAAAGCTGCCCTAGGCAGCAGGTCTCTGGACCAGCTGATTTTCTGTTGTAGTAATTCTCTGTCATTCTCTTTTATTAATAAATTCTTCAAATACAATGGTTTGTTGTAACTCAATTATTCACTCAATCCCTCACCAGCAAGATGCAATTTCCACGACACATTTAACTGGTTAACAGGTTTAATGCGATAGGAGGACAGTGGTAAAGTTAAAGGTTCAGTGCTGTGTTGTGTTGTGAGGCTGCAGATAAAACAGGTAAAGTGATAACAGTGCTGTTGCTTTTTGGTGAAATGCGGCTGTTGTGTGTTGCAGCCCACCAGCCAGCAGGGGTCCAGGCTGCAGAGGCACAGGATTTGTACCAGCCAACCGCCAACCCAGCAGCAGAGGCCATCTCCTCAGTCACTGAAGCACAGACTAGTGACCCCTTTTTTAAGACCTCCACCTGGACTGGCCTGGTTGACTTGGACAACGCAGGAGTTCACTCCATTGCTGGAATCAACAACTCCTCGGAGATCTCTGAAGAGCATGTAGTCGTCCACTTAAGGCCAGAGGAGGGCTGGGGTGGAAAACAGAATGGACCCAGCCAGGAGGAGTCTGGTGGCCCAGTGGATAGCAACAGCTTTGGCCTTTCCGACCTCGGGAGCCTGGAGAGCCATGGAGGTTCTGCTCATGAAGAAGAAGATGGTGGATATTATGGTTCATCTGACACCCCAACATTTTCCTCCATAGCTTCTTCCACTCCCCAGCCTCAGACCAGTCACAGTGTGTTGGCAGAGTTTGTTAACACTCTGATGAGGCCCTTTAAGTACTGGACTGAAGGTAAGGAGACAGAAAAGGGACCTTCAGTGCTTGATGAAAAAGCAGGAGAGAACCAGACACAGGGAGAATCATCCACCAGAAACCTGAGTATACCAAAACCCAGTGGAAACAAGGGCAGCGTGGACAATGCCATCAGGGAGCACAGGAGTGATAGTCTTTCCTTCAGGGCCCCTACCAGCAGACTACCGAGTCCAGAGGAAGGTCTGTCTGAGCAAGAGAAAGAGGTGATGCCCCTGATTCGTTTAGTGCCTGCAGTCCAAAGCACAGGGCAAAGTGACACCACCACTCAGCCAGGAGAACGAATCTCCAGCACATCTGCTTACAGCCCTCCATCTGCTGTTAACGGTATGAGCTCAACATTGATTTTGTTTGTGCCTGTGTTCTTGTGTGTATTTAGGGCTCACCTTTAACCTTTCAAACTAATAACTGAGTGTGAAATTGAGATAGAAATGAGGATGAATTGAAACTGTTGTGTGTAGTGTGGTGCATTTAAATGTCTCTGGTAAATATAGGATCTGTTTATGTCGTGCTTAAACAGTCTGTGTCTCTCTGTTCTGCTCTCTCTTCTTTTCCCTCGAGTATGCTATAATATATTCCCCCGCAGGGCAATTTGAAGTATCGCTGTAGATTTAATTAAACAGTAATTGCAAACAAACAAAAGGGGCATACCACATACAGTAATGCAAAATGTCAGAGTGGAGACTGTTCTGCCTTCATTCTCATATTTATTGACTGTGCTGTGTTTACAGGACAAGCTGTCAGAAAGAATACATGCTAAGCTTGAATTTTAATCCACTTTGATGCTATAAATGGTTTGCTCACATATGTATTTTTTGCTTGGACAGACCTGAATCACAAATTACAGCTTATTTTTAGGAGTCAAAGAATTATTAGTATTAGACTGAAAAATGTACTGTTATTAGCTGTGAAGAATAAATTCAACAAAGCAACTTGACCAGACATGGATAGGAGTTGAAGAAATCTGTGTTCAGACACAGAGAGAGAAATACTGTAGGGATTATGAGAAGGCCAGGGATTCATTGTTTGTGTGTGTGTGTGTGTGTGTGTGTGTGTGTGTGTGTGTGCTTGATGTGTGCAAGCTGAAGAACCTGGAGGTCCAACATCCACAGTGGAGTGAATTGCCCTCAGGAATGGTGTGGCACAACACACCCAAGGATAAAAAAGTCACCAGGTCACAGTTTTCAGCTCATGTCTTCTTAAAAGCACCCTGACACGAAACCCAAAATCACTTCCTCCAGTTTATAACTGCAGGGGTAAAGGTAGACTAAAGATTAAATGAACGTCTCGTGGCTGCAAGGTTGCTGGACCAATAAGTACTGGAGCAGGGCACCTACAGAAAAGCCATAACGGCTCAGAAACTGATCTTCAGCCAAAGTAGAGAAATGTACCAGGTAGAAGCTAAAAATAAATTGTACCACAGCCTTGGGTGGAAAAAGTCAGCTTTTCTTTTAATGGCCACCACAAATAACACATCCTTAGAATCAGCTGAAGGGGAGGATGCAAAGAAAGTGTAAGACTTTCCCACAGACAGCCAGAAGAATAATTGAATAAAGGAGATAGGCTTTTCTCACCTGGCAATTGCCACCTTTATTAATATAAATACTCACTGCTGTGCTACCTGAAGTCCGATGGCAACCCCCAAGGTATTAATGAAAATCCAAGCTTTAGTCCGCATGCATTATTCACAGCTGTATCCAATTAACGTGGAGGTTGGGCTGCACTGCCGTTCGCTCTCACCTCCATCTATGTCTCTGCCAATTAGGCCCCAGCTCTCTGAAGGTAGGCAGTAATGATCACTACAGAGAGGATGAGCAACACAACATGGGGGATGAGTAGAGTGGGAAAGAGGGAAGAAAAGGGGGAGATGGAGAAAGAGAGGTGGAAGAGTCGTTTCTTCCTTTAATGTTGCCGTGATGAAACGCTGCCCAGCTGATGTGTCTTCTTAAACTAGCATCAGTGAGCTGAATTAACTCTGTTATTGCACACCGCAGGCTGTCCCTTGGATCTCAACACTTCTTTGTAACTGATGGTGCCGTGTTGCCTCTTTGATTGAAAGGGATGCAAAGCTGTGCACTGCAAGAAAGATTAGAATTTAAGCACTGAATAAAATAATTTGGAAAATTTGAAGAAGGTCTCTGAGTATAGAGCAATAACTTCAATTATTTCCCGTGCAAATCAAAACATTCAAATCAAACATTTTATTTCATGAAGTATTATTTTGTGAAGCTCCTAGTGGACCGATCTGCATCCAATAAAAGCATGCAAAAGTCCTGACTGTCTGTCAAGGAAATGCATGTCTGCTTCACACTGGTCTCGTCAACCACACAGACTGAATTTATGTGATAGAAGACAGTGGGGTCTCTGGGATGACACTCAATGTAGATGCTCCCGACATGATTCACATGGCCATGCAATAACTTCTCCTCAGTCTTTTTTATTAGATGCCATATCTGCAGATGGGCTGGGGTGGTACCAGCACCAACTCTCTCTCTCTCTCTCTCTCTCTCTCTCTCTGTCTCTGTCTCTCATTGTCGGCCTCCACTTTCACAATTTAATATCATGTCTGCCTGACCTGGGGGATTCTCTCAGCCCGTTTACTCCTGTAAAGTGGAGTCAACACAGCAGAACCACTCACAGTAGAAGCACACAATTACTGTCTGAACAGGGTTTATTATAAGTTTGTTTTGCAACGTTTCACTGTTGAGTTGTGACTTTTCCACCAAGCCTTCCACCAACAGATTTACAGTGTCAGAGCTGAACTTTAACCATGCTCTAAACAGCACCATGAAATCATCCAAACCTATGTCTAATTGTCTCATTTTATTTATTACATGGGTCATTACGTAGATGATCAAACCAGATTAATGTGTTTAATTATTCTCACTTTCATCAGTGTGTGTAGTAAAAGTATGTAGTTAGCTATTTGGATTATTAATAGGACAATTACGCAGCTCTTATGGAAATGAACCTCAGGCTCATGAACCTAATTTGGGCATAAGGCAACAGCGGACCTTCTGAATAATTTACATACATTTTACTATTTTATGCAACATATTTGTGTATGTTCTCCCTCTCATGCTAATTTGTTGTGCTGGGTTATTTTGCACCCCCCTGTACTTTTCACACATGTTAACTGAACTGGGGGCAGCCAAACCGAACTGAGCGATGATGATGGTAGCAACACTAGCTGGGCCTCTCAGTAACAGGACTGCACTGCTGCCCTAAAAAAAAACACACCGGCCGTGAGTCACACATGCAGACAGAATGAATAATTGATGTAGTAGACAGTCTGTGGTTTAAAGTCGTAAGCTGATAAGGTACAGTGGACCACTTCATCTAAATAAACAGGTCTAGATGGAGCTTGCTGTGGCGCAAGTCATTTGCTTATCGTGTTACAAGTGGTCCTGTGTTTTTTTCACATGGCTTCTCTCACCACAGTCAAGTGTGTGAGGCTGTTTGGGGTAAAATAATCCACAGGGAATAAGAAAACAGGGACAGAGAAGAGAAGTGTGAAATTGCTTTCCTTCCATCCTTTTGGTGTGTTTGTATCTGTGTGTGCATGCGTGCATGCGCGTTTTTATAGGCTTCCACAAGGGATGGCTCCCATCTTTGTCTACAACAACTCTAACAACTTTAGTAGCGGCCCTGATTGGCTCCACTGGTGGGGAAAAGAAGCCCAAAACATCAAACTGTGCAGTAAATGAGTTAACTGCTAGTCCACAAAAAAGCACAGTTTGTCTACAGCTTAAAATACACATGGAAAGGAAATCCAAACTCCCAGTTACATTTGAATTTAGAGGTTATTGGGTGGCAGGAGATCCTCGGAGAAAGGATCTGATCTGCCTGAGAGGCCAGCTTTTGGAGAAAATAATGTAATAAGTAGGCTAATCTGCAGCAAAGGTTTATTGTGGAGGTTTATCCTGACTGGTACTTCCATGCACCGGTTTTGAAGGGAGTTTTAAACCTTCCAGTGTTTGTCTGTTCCACGAAGTGTGGGCAGGAAAAAGAAATTACAATTAAGACAAATCAGTGAAGTAGTTCACACAATGACAGAAACCCATACAGGTGCTCACACCGCTGATCCTAGCAGACTCTTGTTTTCATAATACTTTTGAAACTGTGCTCCGTGCAAGAGTTATATGGGCCTGTCACGTACTACAGGCTTGAGTTTTAATTGCTTATTCCACATCCATAAAATTAAATCCTCCCCCGCCCTCACCACCCCCATAATATAATCATATTAATTAGTCTATTCTGTCTCTTTGTTCCCCGTAGAATTCACTGCATCAAGTCCCAACGAGAGCCCACCACCCAGTGAACATGTCAACTTATCTGGTCCTCAGGGTCCCAGAGGAGGCCCAGCCTTTGCTCCAGCCCCTGGAACCCACTTTCGGTGGGCCATCAAGTCCATGCGTGGCTCCAAACTAGGCCCCCCTGGAAAAGTGGACTATGTAGGTAAAGGTCCCACCTGGGAGCCTATGGAAGCCAAAGCAGGGCCACTCGAGGTGATGACCCTCCCCACCTCCCTTCGACAGGACAACCTGGAAAACTATTCAGGCCAGGGGAGGGACCAGGATGGAGAAGATGCTAACACTCCATCAGCTGCCAGAACTGCCTCAGGGCAGGAGAGGGAGATAGAGGGGAGCAGTGAAGGGAGCAACGTTCCTGATGGGTTTGAATTGAAAGTGAACAACTTGGACAGCAGTGGTGTCAAACTGAGTCCTGAAACAGAGTCTTCTCTCCGCCAAAGCCAGACTGAGCTTGTGACTGTGGCAGAGCACACTACTCTGTCCCAGTGGCAGCTAGTGGAACAGCCTACCACCCTACCTCAGGGCTCTCAGGAGCCAAATACCGCAGAGGAGGCCAGGGGCGAGATCCTTTACGTCCGCCGGCCAACTGACAACCTCTCCTCTGCTTCTTCACAAAGAGTAGAAGGTTCAAATTCAGGTTTCACGCCAGTTTTCAGGAAGCATAGCAAAGGCACGAGCCGAAAGGAGATGGTGACCTCCACACCTGAAGCCCTAATGCAGGTGCTCACAACCTTTGAGGTGACCACAGTGGAGCTTCTGACAACCAGCAACACACAGAGGACCGATCCTTCTACCACAGCAACCACTACAGAAAATTCCTCAGACAGCGCCACCACAGAGGAGCCATCGATTTCCATTTCATGGATTCAGGAAGAGAGGGAGAAAACAACAAGCACGCCCAGCCAGCAGGACCACATCTCAGATACTCCTGCACCCAGTGAGGGATCTCAAACGACTACGGGTGTCATTCAGTTAACTACCTTCGCATCAGACTCCAACATTGGCGCCACAGAAATGGAATCCAGGTCTGCTGTGTCTGAGTCCTTCGTGGTTGGAAGTCGGTGGACACCTTTCAAAGGCGTGAGCTCAAAGTCAGAGGAAAACAAAGCTTCGGCAACGGCAGACGACAAAGACACAAACAACCCTTTCGGCATTCTGGTACCCAACTGGGCCTTCGGGCTCATCCCATCAGGTACGTAAGCTCCCCGACGATCCCAACGAACAATGAACTTCACTCTCATTATTATCTTCATGATTATAAGTGATTATCTAATCGTTTGCGATTTATTTAATTATGTATGCCACTCAGTGTGAACCAGAAACATCATTCACATCATCGCTGTCCTGAGGTGATATACAGTACAGTAACAGCAGTATGTTAACAATGCTGCATGCCCTCCACCTGAGTTCACAGCTCTGCAAACCAACTCAAATATACACACCTCTATTTCCTGACTGTGTCTGTCTCTCGTTGTTCCATTCGACATCTCCACTCTCTCTCCTTCTCTGACATACATCATGCATTCTTAATCCAGGCTTGTTCTTTCTCTTTGCCTTCACATCCTCCTCCTCTCTTTTCCCTACCTCCCACGTTGGCATAGAGAGACAACTCCAGACAGCGAGGCAGTGCACTGAGGTGAGACCAACTAGGTCTTAGTGAAGTAATTAGTGGGTCAGAGTGAGTGCAATTAGGTGAGCTGGGGAGAGGCAGAGATCCTAGTCCCCAACAGATCAATGTAGACACAAACTACAAGATGGGACTTGTAATTGACTGCGGCCTCTTCTCCTTTCTCATTTTCAAGTTTGTCCATGTTCCCACGGCTCAACTTTCCTTTCTCTGCACTCCATCCCCAAGCTTGTTGTTCACAATAATAGCAGTGTCTGTGTTGTTTGTCTCAGCGTCTTCGCATTGATTTCTTTTGATAGCACTGTATTCTTAAGGCCACTCGTCTTGTCCAAATTTGTAATCTTGGCAACCAAAATGTGTTTACGTAATGTTTAATTTGTCTGTTTTGTATTGTGTGTTTCTGCTGAACTAATGCCACTCATTCATCCTCAGCTCAGTGCGTCTGGTATTTTCTGGGGTTTAAAAATACATTTTTTTAATTATGACTCGGATCATTAGTCATCCTGCACAGTAAAGTGCATTTCTAAGACTTATCTATCTAACACCACAACACATCACATGAAGAGGTAGCTGTGTTTACATGAAGCCTCTTATGCCACTAATAATGAGAATAACAGCCTATTCAGAATACATACGCCTCATGTTAACGGCTCATCACTCACACAGAAATTAGATTCTGTCAAAAGAAGTGATGTAAACATTTTGCACTGTGTTTGAAAGACAGAAATGTATCACGTAATGTGAAATGACTTCCAGTTACTGTTGTGATGTTTTTTGAATAGCTGTACTCTTTATTTTATTTTTCTTTTGTCTTTTTGTTTTTACCTGTTTGCCCACTTGACTTACATCAAAGACCTTTGGTGTTTGGTCATTTAATGATTATTGTCTGAGTAGTACAGTATGTCTTTCCCAGCAGAACCAAGCGGGGGACTTGCCTTCTTCCATTCAATTACAGCAAGAGGAGGATATTCTAATAAAATTGTGGTTTCAGTAGAAAGTGCAACAGCAAACCAATAACAGTGCAGAGGCTCAACACAGGGCCGTCTTGTTTGCTTGAGGTGGAGCATTGAATGCTTACTCTGGAGCATGCCCATGACACTGATCTTATCATTTAATTTAATGAACATTCAATTCAATTCAATTCAATTCAATTCAATTTTATTTATATAGCGCCAAATCACAACAACAGTTATCTCACAGCGCTTTTCATAAAAGAGCAGGTCTAGACCGTACTCTGTGATGATATTTACAGAAGCCCAACAGTTCCCACCAAGAGCAAGCACTAGGCGACAGAGGCAAGGAAAAACTTCCTTTTAAGAGGCAGAAACCTCGAGCAGAACCATGGCTCAGGGTGGGCGGCCATCTGCCTCGACCGGTTGGGGTGAGAGAGAGAGAGAGAGAGAGAGAAAGAGAGAGAGAAAGAGAGTGAAAGAGAGAGAGAGAGAGAAAGAGAGAGAGAGAGAGAGGGATGTAAGGAGAGAGAGAGGGGAGGGAGGCAGCCTACACAATATACACACAGAGGTACAGACAGCGAAGGTAATGTTGCTATAAACTAAATGAAAAATGGTACAGATATTTATAATAGTGTTAATGGTAACCATCGTAATGTTAATGATTATAATAACAATAAGACTAGCAACAATAGTCGTTGCAGTAGAGGGTGTCGAGCAGGAACACGGGGGCAGCAGGCGACCCGCAGCCACAGATCCAGACTCCACAGCTCCAGAGCCAGAAAACCTGCAGGAAGTGATAGGAGGAGAGAGGAGAGGGACGAGAAAGCACAAGACTACCAGAAAGGGGAGAAGTTGTGTTAGTAACATGCAATAATGGGATAAGGTTGCATACAGAGGGAGAGAAAGTAGAGGAGAGAGGAGCTCAGTGCATCATGGGAAATCCCCCGGCAGTCTAGGCCTATAGCAGCATAACTAAGGGATGGTTCAGGACTACCTGAGCCAGCCCTAACTATAAGCTTTATCAAAGAGGAAAGTCTTAAGCCTACTCTTAAATGTGGAGATGGTGTCTGCCTCCTGAACCCAAACTGGAACCTGGTTCCACAGGAGAGGAGCTTGATAGCTGAACGCTCTGGCTCCTAGTCTACTTTTGGAGACTCTAGGAACCACAAGTAACCCTGCATTCTGGGAGCGCAGTGCTCTGGTGGGGTAGTAAGGTACTATGAGCTCTTTAAGATAAGATGGTGCCTGACCATTAAGAGCTTTGTAGGTAAGAAGAATGATTTTAAATTCTATTCTGGATTTTACTGGAAGCCAATGCAAAGAAGCTAAAACAGGAGAAATGTGATCTCTTTTCCTGGTTCCTGTCAGAACACGTGCTGCAGCATTCTGGATCAGCTGAAGAGTCTTAATGGACTTTTTCGAGCAGCCTGATAATAAGGAATTGCAGTAATCCAGCCTAGAAGTAACAAATGCATGGACTAGTTTTTCTGCATCATTTTTAGACAGGATGTTCCTGATTTTCGCAATATTACGTAGGTGAAAAAAGGCGGTCCTTGAAATTTGCTTAATGTGGGACTTAAACGACATGTCCTGATCAAAGATAACTCCAAGATTCCTCACAGTGGTGCTGGAGGCCAAGGCGATGCCATCCAGGGAAACTATATCTTTAGATAATGCGTCACGGAGGTGCTTAGGCCCCAGAACAATAACTTCAGTTTTATCTGAGTTTAACATAAGAAAATTGACAGAGAGTCACAGCTCTATTGAGCCAAGTATTCCCATAGCTCTCAGTAGTTACGACTTCATGAGCTTCTTTAATGATAAAATTCTAGCTATTAGAGACAAAATTCACCAAGACCTGCCCTCAACTGGCACCGACTTATCTCTAAACTCAGGAACCTTAGAAACAGCTGTAGAACCAGATACATGTTTAGACTGTTTTGCTTCCCTCAATCTTTACCAACTAACTTCAATAATTTCTTCATCTAAACCATCAACCTGCCTCTTAGACCCCATCCCGACTAGGCTGCTTAAAGATGTTTTACCCTTAGTCAGCACCTCTATACTAGATATGATCAATCTATCTTTATCAACAGGCTATGTACCACAGTACTTTAAAGTAGCTGTAATTAAACCTCTTCTGAAAAAGCCCAAACTTGATCCGGATGTTTTATCAAACTATAGACCTATATCTAACCTTCCATTTCTCTCTAAGGTTCTGGAGAAAGCAGTTGCTAAACAGCTGTGTGACTTTCTACAGAGCAATAGTTTATCATGAAGGCTAATTTATATTTCAGTCAGAAAAGAAACATTTTGGCTGATGTAATTGCAGCTGAAGGACACTTGCTTTCCTCAGCTTGAATGGCGGCCTGTTTATTACACAAGGAGATGAAAAGAAAACAGCACAGGAGTACAAGAGTACATTTTTGTCTTTATCAGTATTTCTGATGGTGGCATTTGAATGGACTGAGTGGCCCTGCTCTTGTTGAGTGATTAGAAGCATGAGGCGCCTTCCTCTGGGTGACCTTTTATATGTGTCAGTTATAGTACAGAGAAAATTACCGCAATGGTTGTCTGCCCATTAAAGCAGCGAGATAGTGACAAAGAAGGAAGGAAAGGGCAGAAGGATGGACAGCCCTGAGAAGGACAAAGTGGGATAGAGAGAGGAGGAGAGTGGTGAGTGTGTCCTCGACGATGCTTTAGGCGGGAGTACATACACCTCTTTAATCAATGATCAGAGACTACACTAGCGTAGCCCAGTGGGCCTCCAGAGAGCACATTGTTCCTTACTCATCTTTTTTTCCCTTCCTTCCTTCTCTCCTCCTTTCTTTCTTTACATTTCTTTGCTTCCTTCCGATCTTCATTCTTTGTTTTTTATCAGAACAGTCTCAGCCCCTCTGTGTCCTATTTGGCCATATATCAGAGTGATAAGACGCTGGTATATAATGCCACATCCAGCTTTCCAATTCCCCATCGCTTTGGCCTCCAGCTAAACCCACACAGATGGGTGGACATACACACACACATAAAAAAGAAAGATACGTGAAGAAGCACCAGCATGCCAAGCTTACTCAGGAGTAAACCTCGATAATCCATCCCACAAGCCGCACCATCACACACAAACACACACGCACAGAGATATGTCTTAATCCTTCGCTGTGAACACTGTGAGAAAGTAAACACGTTCCATTTTCTTTTTCAATTACTCATATCTTAATTTCCATATTGTATAATCCTAAAGACAGCATTTATGGAAGTTTGTTACACCACAAAAAAAAGTTACAAAAGTGGTTCATAGTCCAGAGAATCCCAACAAGCATGGAAGTTTACCGGATGGTTCGTAGCACTGGCATCCAGCCGTTTGGGGTGACAAAGCAAGGCGGGAGTATACAGCAATGTTGGCTGTCTGTCCACCCTTTAAATTACCTACGCCAGTGTGACACTCTGGCAAACAGGAAACAGGATGCCTCTGAATTATAGCCATTTTGACTAAAGCCTTGTCCCGGACTCAAGATGGATCAGACCTCTGGCAGCATCAATAACACAGCAGCCAGCCCTCAACCAAATTAGAGCGTTAAATTTGAAAAGAGCCAGTAGATTGAAGTGAGTGTG